GCTGGCGGCTCACAGCTTAGACAGGTGTACTCTGCGCTGGGTAAAAAACTGGTGGCCGGTCACGAGCGGTGTTCCCCAGGGCTCAGTTTTGGAGCCGGTCTTGTTCAAGATCTTTATCAATGATCTGGACGAGGGGATCGAGTGCACCCTCAGTAAGTTTGCAGACGACACAAAGCTGGGCGGGAGTGTTGACCTGCTCGAGGGTCGGAAGGCTCTGTAGAGGGACCTGGACAGGCTGGATCGATGGGCTGAGGCCAACTGTATGAGATTCAACAAGGCCAAGTGCTGGGTCCTGCACTTCGGCCACAACAGCCCCATGCAGCGCTACAGGCTTGGGGAAGAGTGGCTGGAAAGCTGCCCAGCGGAAGAGGACCTGGGGGTGTTGGTCGACAGCCGGCTGAACATGAGCCGGCAGTGTGCCCAGGCGGCCAAGAAAGCCAACGGCATCCTGGCCTGTATCAGAAATAGTGTGGCCAGCAGGAGTAGGGAAGTGATCATGCCACCCGCGTACGTGCGGCACTGGTGAGGCTGCACCTCGAATACTGTGTTCAGTTTTGGGCCCCTCACTACAAGAAGGACATTGAGGTGCTGGAGCGTGTCCAGAGAAGGGCAACGATGCTGGTGAAGGGTCTGGAGAACAAGTCTTATGAGGAGCGGCTGAGGGAACTGGGGATGTTTAGCCTGGAGAAGAGGAGGCTCAGGGGAGACCTCATCGCTCTCTACAACCACCTGAAGGGAGGTTGTAGTGAGGTGGGTGTCGGTCTCTTCTCCTCAGTAACAAGCGATAGGATGAGAGGAAATGGCCTCAAGTTGTGCCAGGGGAGGTTTAGATTGGATGTGAGGAAAAATTTCTTTACTGAAAGAGTGGTTAAGCATTGGAACAGGCTGCCCAGGGAAGTGGTAGAGTCACCATCCCTGGAGGTATTTAAAAGACATGTAGATGAGGCGCTTAGGGACATGGTTTAGCGGGCATGGTGGTGTTGGGTTGACGGTTGGACTCGATCTTAGAGGTCTTTTCCAACCTTAATGATTCTATGATTCTATCTGGGACTTGGGATGAAAGGGAAGCCTTTCTTACAGGAGGAAGAAGGAAAAGGAGTGGAACAAGAGAGTCCCTCCGATCAGCAGAGAGTGACAGTGCCTGGGGCTGAGGGACATTGAAGGCTGGGCGGGATGATCTGTCACTGCACCCCTGCTCTGCTGAGAGGGACAGCATCTCTCCTCGTTCCCTTCTTATTTCCATGGTTATAGCCCCGCTGGGAATGGTTTTACGTTCCTCTCCAAGGTCTAACTCAGCTTGACTCTTGGCAGTTCTCAATGTGCTCCTGAGCTTCCTGACCCCTGAGCAAGATCTCGCCTGTAGAAGTCGCTTTCCCCCTTCCCACCTAGTTCTAGTTCATCTTAATGTGCAGGTTCACATTCTTCCAGGTGGCTCCTGGTGCTTTGGTTTGAACAGCTTTAGATTTAGTTTACACTGATGCAGGTGTGATGTGGGCTTTGGCACTGCAGTCCCTGGATCCAGGATAAGTTTTTAGAGCATGTTAGGTACTGGGCCAGCTCCTTCATTCCGACCTGTGCCTGATGTCACACTGGTACGGAGGCTATTTCAAGGCATATTAAGCTACCAGATCAAAGCGGTAGAGGGAAAATGTGGGCCAGAGAAAACACAATGTTTTCTCAAATCTTTAGCCTGTTGTCCCCAGAGAGCTGCCCCAGGCTCAGGAGTGCAGGGGGGTGCTTGGTGGCCAGGTAGTCCCACAGTCTGGAGAACAGATTTCTCTTCCCTCCTTATTTCATAAATTGCAGTGACCCTGAATTCGGTCTAGCTGAGGACCTGGACTGTCCAGCCCAGCACCTGGGTGCTGTCAGCTGCATGTTGTGATGGAAGACAACAAATTAAAACCAGGTCCCCCAAGTCCAGAATGGATTTAGGCATCCAGTGCTGGGCTCAAGTCAGTTCCCAGCCTGAAGCCTGTGAAAGGGTGGGTCAGGGCCCCGAATCAGTGTGTGCCCTAGCAGCTCACACGTGGTATTTGCAGGAGGGAGACTTCAAGAAGGTGTTCATATACTTTAGCTACTGATTTTTTTTTTTAACTTTTTTTTTTATTTTTACTTAAGCTCAAACTGTTCAAGCTGGGGATGGACATCTATGGGATTGCTGGTGAGGGGGTGTGCAGTAGCTGGCCCGGGGTGTGCTGCTGTTGGCAGGCTTCTTCCCCAGTGCCACAGCATGTCGTCTTAGTGGCAGCGGCTGGGAAATGGCTAGGGCTGCAGTGTGTGCAGCTATCCCAAAATGGTAGGTTGAATTTAACTCCACGCAGCTGAGTCCTGTGGCAGTATGTCCTGGGAAGAGCCTCTGGAGTCATCTCCTCTTTGCCATGCCACCTCACTGACCTGGCACTTTCCTGCTGGAGAGGGACAGCCTCTGAGGAAGATGGTAGGGATTTAGGCACAGTCACCAAATAACTTTTTGCATTTTTCTGTCTGGAGTGCAGCCTAGGGTAGGATGGTGCCTGGTTTTTGGAGGAGGGAAGAATCTTAGCTGTGTGTAGGCCTGAAAGGAAGAGGAGGGATGTAGCATGCAGCTTCAGAGCCCTGCTGCGAGCCGGCATCTCCTGACACCATACAAGGCAACCACTGCAGATGTGGAATTACAGCTGTCTGGTTTAGAGATCACTATTTAAGAATGAATACTTTGGATCCGTTTAAGTCCTTGCAATCTCAACAAGTTGATGTGTAGTCTTTTCTGAGGTCAAGTATCATTACCAAGTATTTTCTTTCTCTTCTGTCACCAAATGGGCAGGAGTCCATTTCATCAGGTAGTATCACTTTGCTTCAGAAGTTACTCATCTCACCTATCTTTCCCATCTTCTCCTTTTCAGGGTTTAATGTCCTTGTGCAGATCACCTCCCCCCGACCCAGCTTCCTCCCCCCTCATACCAGCACTGCTGAGCACTGGCCTGCTCTCCGCTTTCTGATTTCTCCTCCTGAAGGATGACTGGAGCAGAGGGCTTGATTCCTGCTTGTCGCTTCTTTATGGT